AAAACTAATATCTACTCTCCAAATATATAAGAGTCTAAATTGAATATTATAAAGAAGAAATTTAGGCTTCTCCACTAGTTAAAAGATTCCCAATCAGTAGATTCTTAGCATTAATTTTAATTAAAAGTTTCTGTAAGCTAGAAAAGATGCACATAGCAAAACCATGGGTAGTCCCTTCAAGTTCAATAATGAATTAGTTTTTATAAGCAAAATAATTATATAATATAATAATAGTGAGATTTCCTAATAACACCATCACACCCAACTTCTCTTGGTTCCCTCTATAATAACCATATATAGTAAATTTAACCTTCCCATATATGCATACAAAAATACATATATACTTTTTTTTCTTCTTCTTTTTTTTACATACGTTCATATATACATACATACATACATATATATATATATATATATACACACACATATCTATGTTTATATATATACACACATAGATATATATACATACACACACACAAACAGATATACATACATACATATATACACGCATATACATACATACTGACATACACACACACACAGACATATATACATACACACAGAGACTCATGCACACATAGACATACATGCATGCACACATACACACTTACATACATAAATACGTACATACACACATACATACATACCTACCTGCTTACCTACGCATGTACATACGTACCTACTTACCTACATATATATGTATTGACAATTTAATTGTTGAATAATTGAGGTGGATAATTTTAGCTCATTTCTCTCCATCCATGTAAACTACAAAAGAAGGACCAGGACTGATTCAAATATGGCCATACTAATTTCGCAATTTAGCTTAAGGGAAAGGATGGTGACACATTTGAGCTAAGTTTATATTTAGGTAAATAATGACCCAAAAAAAAAAAAATTTGATCAATCACAGCTACTAAGAAAATAAAGTTCTTAGACAATGATTTAATAGAAAAAAAGTTTCTTCCACAAAAAGAAACAAGTGATAGGACTAAGAAATAAAGAATAAAATATTATGAAATATTTAGGGCATTATTAGAGAACATGATACTAATAAGTTTGTTAACAGTAGAAATAAGCTCACAAATGATGACATTTTTAACCAAAATTTTGTTAGAAAGTCAAGTAGGAGCCCTTGAAACTATAAACAACATTTAAATTAGTTGATCTTAACAAAAGAAGTGCCGCAATAAATTAAAACCAAAAGCTATAGAAATGTAAAAAAAAAAAAGAAACTAAAGTGCTGAGTAACGCAAAATATTTTTTTAAAGAAGATAGAAGTGAAGGAGGTGAGGATGGTATCAAAGAAAAGAAAAAAAAATTATGTAGTAGCATACATGTTTCTTATAAATGATGGTCAACACGCTCTAAAATGGATTATGCAGTTTATAAAAGAACATACAACACAATTATTTTCTATTTACATATCTACACCTAAATTTTCATATTTACATGCATATCTCTCAAATCATTATTATTACGTAAGAAAATACCAGTAGTATTAATTTTTTAAAAGTGAAATACACATTTTCATGCTTAGGTTTATAACACCAAAATATTATAAATGTAAATATCAAACTTTAGTTGTTAGATATGTAAATACATAAGTTTTATGTGGTATGTATGCAAATTTCCCAAGAATTAATATGCTAGCTTCAATTTAACAATAATAAGTTTTTTTGTAGAAAATATTTGTTTCTAACTTCCTTTACTTTGTCCCCTAATGCATCCATGAAAGGGTTGGTGTAGTTTCAGTGGAAGATAAGATTAGAGCGACTTTTCTTAGATGGTTTGATCATAGTAGGCATTGACCGCCTGATGATCCGATTAGCAGAGTAGATGCTTTAGAATCGACTTATGTTAAAAAAGGTAGAGGTAGACCTAAAAAAACCTGGGCATGTTGTATAAAAAAAGATCTTAACTTATTAGAACTAAATAAAAACATGACACTCAATAGAACAAAATGGAGAATAAAGATTCATGTAGCTGACCCAACTTAATGAGATAAAGGTTTGATGTTTTTGTTTTGTATTGATGTTATCTTTAGTTTTTAAAAACTCAGCGCATTTTAAAATCTAAGACTTACGTTTTTTTTAAAATTTTGTTAATGATGTTGTATTTTGTTTATTGTTCTAGTTATGAGAAGTACCATGTCCACTTTGGAGGTGATGCTGAAACAAGAAAAGCTAACTATACTGATATGGCAAGTCACCTACTCTTATACTACTGCTTTAAGTGAGTTTTTAGTTTTCTAGTTTACTTGATTTTCATTATAACACAAGTTATTATAAAATAGGTTGTATCTAGCCCTTCATATTTTAGTGTTACATGTAATTAGTTTAGGACAAATGGTGACCATCATGATGTAATGAGTATTTTTTTTAACATTATCACTTCATACATTCAAAAAATCTTATGCTCAACATTGCATATAAATATTAGTTTGTAGTTTTGCATGCATGCATGCCACTACTTTATAATACTAAGCATTTTCATATATAGTTATAAAATAGTTACATGTTCTAGGCCAATTGTTTTATATTTATCTTCATTGATAGGGTTAGCAATTATAATGGATGGTTTAAGATTTGATTAACAGGCCATTATGTGTCATGATAGTTGGTATATAAGTAGAGGTTATTGGAGAATTAATAGGTAGTGAAATAAACACTCCCTATTAGGGAATAATTAAGGCATTAATGAATAAAATGATAGGGTCTAGAACATTCAAATCTTTTATGTCAAATCAAAATACCATTATTACTACTTCTTAAACAAATCAAAGTTCGGGGTTAGTTATATAATAGATAGAAATTATGCAGCATGCATGTGAATATTCATTTTATTATAATGAATCCTTCTTTTGAAAGTTTTAATTTTGGGGCATTTACATACATATCACACAACTTTTATGCATAAATAACACCGAAACTTTACTTTTTTACAGGTATACCATCCTAGTCTTTCATTTCACACTTTTACAAAGTGAAATACACCTATTCATGCATAAGCAAGGAAGCATATATGTAAAAATTAAATTTTTGGTGTTAGATATTTAAATACAAAAGAAATGAGAGTTATGTATATCAATCTTCCTTTAATCTTTGGAGCTTTTGACACACACTGTATGTCATTCATCCCTGTTCTTTGTCGCCTTTAGGCAATCCCAGCAATGAGTTTACTTTAACTGTAATCTCGCTGACCCTACTTGTAAGTACCCTATCTCCTCTCCCGCTTCTAAGCTTGAACTCCTATAATCATTAAGGGCTGTTTCGTAGCAGCATTTGAGCAAGATTTAACCTAAATCCTGCCTAAACAGGAAGAAGACACCTTAAATCCTACGGAATCTTAAATCCCCGACTTATCCTGTTTTGCCCACCCTAAATCCAAGAGTTCGACGAATTTAAGGGATTTAGTGATGAAAGCGCGAGAGGAGGAGCAGAGAGAGCAGGTTACCTTCACTATCAAGCAGTCGTCGCGGTTTCCTTGCCGCAAATCTTCATCGCCATCGCCGCCATCGTGCTCAAGAACTTCACTTCTTCACTCGCGGTTGGTCCCGCCGACGGCTTCTGCAGAACGAAGCTTTTACGGCTAGAATGAGGGGAAGGTGGGAGATAATTTGATTTTTAAGCTAATTATAAAATTTAATCAATTTTATTGATGATTGATTAATATATTGTTTTAAGATAGTTATAATTTAATCAGTTTGATTTAAAAGAGATAGGTTTGATAAATAATAGATTAGTAAGTGTTAAATTAATAATTAATGAGTAATTATTTTATTGAAATTCTAATTACTAATTAATTAATTAAGTAAGTAATTATTGGCTAATATAACTAGAAAAAATAAAGAATTAAACCAAAATAAATGGATGTTAATAATTTAATTTGATTTTTAAGCTAATTATAGTTAAATATTACTTTAACTAATATTTAAATATTCAAATCTTACTTGACTTGAATCATACTTGCAACCAAATGAATGCATCTCATCCTAAGGCCTATATATTGTTAGCAAGATAATTTCATATACATTGTCTCTCCAACATAAACAATCACAAAAAATGAAAAAAATAAAAAATAGAAGCCTCCATCAATTATCCTATATTGATTTTAGACTCAAATCGACAAACTACCGCTTGTTTTAGCATTCATGTATCCATTGACTTATTGTTCAATCTCTCAAAATAACTACCCCTTATTAGATCTCTCACATCATTAGTCTCGTAGACAATGTAACTTTAACTGTTATTCTTAGGTCTACCCACCATGACTTCCATCTCTAGCCTAGATCTTCTAATTTTTCTAGCTCCAACACTTAATCCCCCATCATTATTTTGATCTATATCCTTTAATCACTCCGCTAACTTCCGTAGCCAATTCCAAATTTGTCACAATGTCTACTGTATGCTTCTAACTGCCTTATCCCTAAATACGAGGGCATGTATAAATAAAATTAAATACATTCTTCTATATTATTTCAATTTTTTCGTCTTCCTCTCTATTTTTTTAAGGTTATTAACATCCTCAAAATTTTCATTTATCCCCCTTCTGTGATGTATTTTGGTGATCTTAACAATAAATAAATATCATTCATCATGTCATATTTTTTGATATGAAAGCATGCCACAAAAGCTCTTATTGATCATAGTTTTCTCATTTACAAACTTGTTATGAATATCCTTATTTTGATAGCTCCTTGAAACAAAAGAATTTGAAACACATACAATTGATTGCTCTTGTATGTATTTACTAATAAAGAAAGCTAGAAGTTTATATGTTGGAATCTACTTTTTTTGTTGAGATTCTTTCTTAGCTCTTAAAGTAGTCGGGAAGATTTGGTTGTTAAACTTCTTGAATGCCTCAATTTAATTGTAGTTTACTATTTTTTAATTTCATGCAATTATTTTCTAAATCTCTTTAATGATTTTATTATAATATACATCGATAATTTTATGTGTTCCAGGTAAATAAATATTATGACCTTGCAACCAGCTTTTATGAATATGGATGGGGTGAATCTTTCCATTTTGCTGACAGGTTTGATTATATGTCATTTTACTTCATGAAAAATATGCTCATCCCATATGTACATATGCTATGCATTCAAACATTATATATATATATATATATAAGAGAGAGAGTGTGTGTGTGTGTGTGCGCGCGCGCGTGCGTGCGCCACGTATGCTATGCATTCAAACATTATATATATATATATAAAAAGAGAGAGAGTGTGTGTGTGTGTGCGCGCGCGCGCGCGTGCGCCACACACACATGCACAAACCTTTGTGCAATTTACTCTATTATCTTTGTAAGGCTAAAATAGTACAAGTTGAATTTTTTTCTATATGAAGATGGAAAGGTGAAACATTAAAGGAAAGCATCAAACGGCATCAGCACTTTGTTGCCCTTCAATTAGGCCTTAAAAGAGGAATGAAGGTATTGTTTAAACCTGTCATTCATACATTTTATTATGTTTATTTGAATGAACCATTTACATACATACATACCACCAAATTCCTATTTTTTTATATATATAACACCTAAACTTTATTTTTCACATTTATATCACCCGTCAATTCATTCATGCCACTTAAAAGATACCACCATTTTAACTCTTAAATGTCAAAAACATACACCTTTTCATGCATGCATGGGTGAGTTGTTAGTTATATAAATACATAGGAATCGAGTGGTATGTATGTAAATATTCCTATTTGAATGTCCCAATGCTAGAAATTACTGATGTAACATTTTGGTGGTTGGTTGATACAGGTATTAGATGTTGGGTCTGGAATTGGCGGCCCTTTGAGAGAAATAGCTCGATTCAGGCAATATTAATCACTTAGTTTCCTTACTTATCTGCTCTTTTACGTGTGTCTAAATTTATTGAGCCCAATCAAGGCTGAAGTGAGGTTTATGATCTTTGTCATTAGTATTTTCTAATTGCTCATTAAGATGTGCAGCAATTGTTTGATTAATTCTATAATCATATATCTAATAGTGTTTATAATGCTCGTCTTTGTTTTAGGCATCATATGAAACGGCGAGCAGGAGTAAAGTGCCTAAAAGTCCCCGACTATTTAGATGAGACTGTTTTAGAGTCAAATTAGTCCCCGAATAGTTTAAAAATAAGGATGAAATAGTCCCCACGAAGTACTATTATAACTCAATTTTAAAATAACAAGAGATTATTTTGACAATTTAGTCAATAAACTTAGAGAATTAGAGAAGAAACACAGATGGGAGATAACTTAAAAGACTCATTTTTCATTCTTTGAAATATCTCTAAATGGATGCTTTTTATAGAATTGATGATTACTGATTCATTCCCAGCTAATCTATTAGTTAATTAACTGCTCTTATTAAACCAGTACAAGACATTGAGTATCTTATAGTTTTTCATAAAATTTGAATCTGCATGGTTTTTTCTAATTAGAAGTGTGATGAGAACCTTGTCGTTGGTCTAATTGCAGCTTGGTGTCTGTTACTGGACTGAACAATAATGAAGCCCAGATAACCAGGGCCACTGTGAGTACATATATTATTTTTCTGTAAGATCATTAATTAAGTATTTGCAAATGTCAATCTCCTGTCATTTTTACAGAAACTGACCCGCTTAGCTGGACTGGACAATTCCTGCAATTTCGTCAAGGTGCATTTTTAATTTATTTTTCTTCATTATTCTAAGAATAGAATGTTAAAGAGTTTATGTCCTTAACTCACGCAGGCCGACTTCATGAAAATGCCTTTCTCCGACAGTACATTTGATGCTGTATACGCCTTACAAGCAACCTGCCATGCTCCTGATCCTGTACGTATCACTGCCAAGCCTTTAATCCATCTTTCAAAAGAAGCTTTTTTTCAGGGTTCTAACTGAGTCAAGTTTACTCTTAAGTTGGTTCGGGCTCGATTTGATAAGAGCTAACAAGGCAAGCTCGAACCAACCTCGTCTTGCTTCAATATCCGTGAGCGGACTTGATTAACATATCAAATCAAGTAAAAGTTCAGATTTATCAAACCCTTAGCTACGGAGATAGAGACTGAATATACCCTAAAATCCGGCCCGCAATCGGATTTAACAAATTTAGATTTAGAGAACGAACACGCTAAATAGGAGAAATTATTGCATACGAACGGCGTGTGGAGAGATGCATCCGATCTCCACTGTTGATCAGAGCATATATCAAATTTTTTTTTTAAAATGGGCCCATCGAAATACAACATTGGTCTGATCAACGGTGGAGATTGGACAGTGCATCCATCTCTGCATACGCCGTCCGTATGTAATAATTTTTCGTAGATGGGATAAGTGGAATTTTGATTGAACAGAGTGTTGGATTTAATTCATATAATTTTTTTATGTTATTATATATAGGTTGGATGCTACAAGGAAATATACAGAGTACTGAAGCCTGGACAGTGCTTTGCTGCATCTGAATGGTGCATGACTGATCACTATGATCCCAACAATGAGAGCCATAGAAAATTAAAGGCTGAGATTGAGATTGGCGATGGGCTTCCAGACGTAAGATCAACGCAACAAATCCTTAATGCGTTAAAACAGGCTGGATTTGAGGTAAGGCTTTAGACTGTAATTATTAAGAAAGTTTGGGGTTTTGCTAAATAACTGTAGATTACGTAATTTTATTAACTATGAAGGTTATATGGGAGAAGGATCTTGCGGTCGATTCACCATTGCCATGGTATTTGCCTTTCGATAACAGCCAGTTCTCTTTCAGTAGCTTCCGCACCTCCATTTTGGGACGTTTTCTCACAAGAACAATGGTAAGATATAAATATATATATATATATATATATATATATATATATATATATATATTAAACTAACATTTAAGTTTAAATTTTACAAAAGGAGACTACATAAGTAAAAAAAACAAATTACTATTTATATAGACCGTCAATTGCCTACTCTGAATATAAATTGGTTCCTCCTCTAAGAAAAGGGGCATATATATAGAAATTGAAATTTAGGTATTAGAAATGTAAATATATAAGAATTGAGCGGTGAGTTCATAAATTTTTCATATTATTTTGTTTTTTTTTTTTATGTTTACTTATATCCCACATAATTCTTTTGTATTTATATATCTAACAACTAAATTTTAATATTTATATTCATTACACCGAAGAAATTTTTAGTATCACATAAAAAATAGCACTAATAATTTTTTAAAAAGCAAATATACTTTTTTATGGGCAAGTTTATAAATACAAAGTGTTATGTTGAAAATATCGAACTTTAACATTTGAGCGAATATATGACACTGTTAAATTAATTTTTGGCTTTCAGGTTCAGGTGATGGAATTTGTGCGTCTTGCACCGGCGGGTAGCACGAGAGTGGCGTCGTTCTTAGAGAAGGCTGCTGATGGTCTACTTGAAGGGGGAAGGTTAGGTCTCAAATATTATAAAATTCAATAATTGCATGCATATATATATATAAGGCTCTGAATTTAGCTCTAAAAGTATTAATCGCTCGAAAATTGATTCAAATTTTAGCTTGGATGGTGATTGTATTGAAATAAACGAGCTGAGCCATGAGCCAAAATTTTGGATCGAGTTTTTTTCGGGATAATTTGGAGTCGATCCCACCTAAGCTCGAAATCTGATAGTTAATAGCTCTAGTGATGTCAGCCTATGAATTTAGCGAATTTAATTCGATCCCACCTAAGCTCGAAATCTGATAGTTAATATCTCTAGTGATGTCAGCCTATGAATTTAGCGAATTTAATTCGAAGATCGTTAATCGCTCAAAAATTGATTCGAATTTTGGCTCCGATAGAGATTAGATTGGAACAAAAAAACTAAACTACAAGCTAAAGTTTTATATCAAAAATTTCTTTTTGACCCGATTTTGAGCCATTCTCAGCTTGGCTTGAAATCGGATCGTTAACAGCCTTTATCAGGGGCGGACCCTCCAGCTTCTCAAATTCAAATTTTTACTTATTGAGGGCAATTTTATTTTTTTGTCCCTTCTTAAATATCACTTTGTTTTCATTACCTTAGCCCCTCTCAAGTTCCACCCTGCCCTCTCTCTCTCTCTCTTTATATATATATATATATATAGTTGCAATGAAGAGAGCAAATATATATAGTATTTTGAGTAACAGTGGACAAGATGGAAGGTAAGATGAGGTTTATATAGTCCGGAGAAAATAGTAGGAAATTTTATATATATATATTTTAAACCATTTAATGTTGTTTAATAATTTAGTGGGTGTTCATTTATTCAGGATGGAAATCTTCACCCCGGTATACTTCTTTCTGGTTCGGAAGCCTCTTCAAGAATCATGAAGAACAAGTCCGCGGTAGAAGCTTATAATCATCGTGTTTTTCTAAGATAATTAATTGTTTTGGAGAGGACTAATGAGAAACCAAAGCATTTGATGTATCAGTATTTGCATTAGTATGTGTGCGTTATTTGCATTAATAAGAATTATTGTGGTATGTATTATTATAGATTGTAATGAGATGCACGAGTGTGATAAAGAGCACTAAACCTAATTCAGGTGCAGAGCCGACCAGTTCGCCTATCAAGCAATTTAACAGGGAACCTGACGGAACAATGCGCTCAAACACAAATCAAAATGATAAATATTGAAAACATTTTGAGGTCCTTTATATAATGGAAGAAATAATGATCACAAGTGTAAGGATGTAAAAGTTAACCCCTTCTATTTTAAATGACATGTAAAACTACAATTCAATGTCAAATTAAGGTTGAAATTAAGGAGTGAAAACAAAATATTTTGTTTTATTTGAAAAAGTTATAATCATTACAACCAACGGAAATTACTTGCCCATTCAAATCAACTTACAAAGGAGGAAAAAAGAAAACACAAATGCATGAATCTAAAGTGATGTCTGCAGGAATTCAGCCTATACTATATCTGTTGGGACTATTACAATTGTAAGTATCATCCCCTAGCTCATAATGGGATGCATGATTGCACCAATTAGTGTCTGTTTGGGGTAGCTTATTTGATGCTTACGGATTTTCAAAATGTCGCCCCTGCTATTTTTTTAGTGCATTTGGAGTGTGTTTGAGGATCAGTGGGGATCCTTTTTCTATTACACGTCGGCCGTAGGTCGAACCTTGAGGCCCGCGTTTCCTGTTTTAACTTTGCGATAATACCCTGGGACGATCCCTTCATCTCGTGCGCTAGGTTTCTCTTCTCTACTCTCATCCCCTGGCTCTCTCTGCTACGATTCTCTTCTCTTTTTCACTCTGTGATCCGGTAAGGTGTGGTGCTTTGTAACTTGCTAATGTTGCTGTGAATTCTTGATGAATTGATTTTGTGTAAGTAACAAGCAATTTTTCAAGAATATCAAATGATTGGCATTTTATTTCTTTGGCTTGCTTTCCACATTTTTGATGAAATTGTTTTGTGTGAGTAGTGGCAAGCATTCTGTGAAGAATATCGAGAGATTGACATTTTTATTTGGTTTTTTTGGCTTGTTTTACCATTTTTTAGTGGAGAACATCAAATCAAATTTCTTTGGTTGGCTTGGTTTTTTGGCACAGTGCAACTCATTTTCATTTTTTCTTGCTTCTTAGTTTGGAGCACCATTACTGAACTTTATATATTTTGTGATAACTGTTGGAGTACAAGATTTGGAGCTTTATTATTTATGTATTTGTCTAGAAGCACTGGCTCGTTGTTCGCGAACAGCTCGTGTTCGGCTCATGTTTGGCTCGTCGTTAAGAAACGAACACAAATAATGACTTCACAAACTTCTCTCATTTTGAGATTGAGACACTGACTGCATCGCTTACTGGCTGCATCATGTAAGCGATGTACCGACCTTTTCCTCAAACATGATATCCTCCATCTCTGCAGCTCGAAGCCCCTGGCTTCATGCCAAAAGAC